AAGGGAAAGAGAAAGAAGAAAGAGAAAAGGAAGAGAGAGAAAAGGAAGAGAGAGAAAAGAGAGGGGAGAGAGAGAGAATAAAATAGTCCTTCACAATTATCTCGAATAATTGTCAAGCAATCTGTGGAGATGCGGTCGCTATAATTCCTGTTTGAACGGAACGAAGAGAGATAAAATCTCTATATTTTTACTTTGCGAATGTCGAATGCATACGGCCTGAGTTTAAAATTATTAAAGTGCAAATGAAGAGTGTTCTATATTTTCTCCACAACGTAAATAAGCAGAGTCATTTGTTACAAATTTGAACTTAATATTTTTTTTAATTAACAATGGAGTAACAACATATGCAATTGGAAACAAAACTAAGAAATTATTTGGAACCTGGTAAAACGTACAATAATAGATGTTCACAGCTGTTAAGACATGCAAGAAAGATAATAAAATAAATGTTAAAAATTTTGATGTCAAAAAGATTCTTACTTCACAAGCTGTCAAAAATTTAAATTATTTATACCATAAGATCACGTTGATACCCACATGCCAATGGCAGACTGATTCACTGAAGATTACTTCACTTATATCTTGAGCTGTAGATATTTTGTGCTATATAATTTTGTTTTTTATTCTAACTGTTAGGAGTCTAAGAGTTTTGAAGAGATATACCTTCTATTTTGAAGATGGAAACCATTGTGTCGAATAGACACTTAATGAAGAATAAACCTAGATGGATCGACGCGTTCTACCGAATGCCAAGCGGGTGGAGATCCTCTTTTAGGTTGTTTTTCCTAATGTTTAACTATTTATGTATTTTGGGTTGGATATTATTTAGTTTGATATACGTTTAAATGTCGAATGAATAACAATAAATGTTAACTATATTGCATATTGATTTGTCCCTTATAGAGTATTAAATATTTATTGAGTTTGTTTTGTGTAGATTTAAGTTACTTAAGTTGAATACTCTGTGCTGACTAAATATTTTTAACACATATTAGTACTACACATTTCATTTCGAGATGTACATTTAAATAACGATCATCGCTTAAGCTTGATTAAATTATCTATTATATTATGAGTTCAAGTTATTGTTATCTTCTGTAGACAGAATGTCTAGATGAATATAGGAAAATTGTATAATTAGCTATTTCATTCGAAGAGTGTGAATATATTATTTTTCGAAAACGATAAGAAATACTATTTTGTTTATAATTCTACTTTTTTTAAATAAATATATTTAAATATTGAAACTTTGTTAACTGAAGGCCTTAAAACAAGTTTTAATTAAAAATATCTAAGACTCATAAATAAAAAAATTCGAGTTCTTGAAAGCTTTTAAACAGCGCAATTGAGTGGTAAAAATAATAATAAATATTATACAATTGATTTTCTCAGAATTTCATTAATAATATAGTTTGTATTTCCCCTTTAAACAAAATTGTTTGTCTGGAACATTGATACGATAAAAAGGTTTCTTTTATGAGAAACCTGGGGACATAAATATTATCAGCACAAAATATTGGCAAGTAATACCTCAAGTTGTAAAAATTAGTAATAACCAAAGGTGTTCAAGCATACAACCTATCTCAAAAAACTACACTGAGTACAAGTAATGCCCACAGTGGACTTAGATATACGCGCGATATCTTTACTACGATTAATTGACGTAAATTGAATTATTCACGAATTTAAAAGCGTTAGTGACATTCACGGCAATGCACTAATTTACAGAATCAAAAAAAAAAAACATGAGAAAAATTAAAGTTTTTAATTGAATTAAAATTGAACACGTGAATTTCGGACTTTTTGACAATGACGACTATGAGAATGAAAGTAATGATACCAGATATAATCATTAATAAAAATTAACACATGTAGTATTTAAAATGTATTTGAAAACATTAGAATGTTAAAACACTGATTTAGATAAAACAAAAGTACCTTTTGTAAAATAGTTGACATGGGTCCATATCATAAGACTTGTGGCACACTTTTTTTATAATAACTTTATTGATAAAAAAAACACTAAACAATTCACTGCAACCTGAGATATCTTTTACATAAGCTGGATTTTTCCAACACTGATGCTTGCGTAGAAGACATCGAAAATGTAGAGCAAATTCTATATGAAAACCTTGACAAAATCTTCACCATTAAAGTAACCTTGGTATAACACCAAAATTATGCTAATATTTATTAAAAGTTTGAGCATACAAGGTCAAAAGGAAAGGGTTTACATTATAGATCAATTTTAGTTGCGGTTATTCTTCAACTCCATAAACATTCATAACAAACATTGTGATTTTTGGAGTGAAGAAGACCTAAAAATGTTTTATCAGCTACAGACATGGTTGAGCTGTACTTCATTTATTATGAAGAAAATTTTTGATGGGACTATATGCAACTTCAATAGCACACCCTCTGGTATAAAAATAAGACTTGTCCCAACGGTATATTCTTATACAAGTAACGCACTGAAAGAGCCATGACATTAACGTTCGTGGCCCGATTCTCTCCATTCACCTTAGTTTGGTTGTTGAATTTCTCCTGGTAGATAATACTCTCCAAGTTTTTATTAGGAAACCAACCGTTATTGATAGTTTATAAAGCCACAAAGCAGTGTAGTTTTCTTTCTTTGGCTGCAGAGGCACCATCGTCATTCCTCGCACTTGCCTGAACTTTCTTTCCGCCACACATTCCGCTTCACAAGCGGAGCGGATCCATTATGACTCTAAGCGTAAAATTTATTCCTAGCTTAATCATTTCGTAAGCTTTCGTCTTGATCGTATTATTGTCTTTGTCTTATGCGTATAAGTCAGCAACAATTCCAGAAAATGGAAGCAACCATTCGTATATGCGCACATTGTGCTTCGGAATAGGGGTAAAAGAATCCAACCTGTTGTAAGAGGCGACTTAAATCCACTTAGCACCATGCAACACTGTTTGAAGTATATCTGGTAGTGAATGCGGTATCCGACTGGAGGTGTAAATCTGACACCACATGGTCAGGAGCTGCCACTTCGGCTATCGTGATCAATATAGGTTGGCTTATTAAAATGAGTGGCTGTCGATAAAACCCATATTTACATGGATGGAATGACTGTATACATTTACTTTTATTGGATGTGGAGTTGCTTTTGCAGCAGAATGTTGTCATCTAAAGAACATCTGTGGTATTAGATAGACCTCGCTTTCTTCCAAGGAGGTAACTATATTCAAACTTATAACTACAATTCGTACCAGCGAAACTTTCTGATAATTAATTGACGCACAGTGAAATATAGGTTAAAAAACTCTGGATTCTGTATGTGTTCACCACATACAGTCATGGGTAAGAAAAAAAGGTATAAAATTTGAGCTTAAGTTCACATTTCTAAGATGATTCCGTGAAGCCAAATTGAGCCAATTTATTTTTAGTTATTAATGTCATAAAATTATTTATCGAACAAAAAGTATTTAACTCATTTGCTGAAATATTTTTAATTTGAAAATCCACACCTCCCAAAAAAATTTGCAATATATACTGTAGTTAAAAGATTGTTACTCATCATTTATAATCACTAAATTAAAAAATATTTAACCAAATTTTTTGCAAATAATGTAATTAAACTAATGTTGGAGCATTCTGATGTGAGTACAGTAAAAACTTTATATATGTCGATTTTATTGAATTAAGTATTAAAAATATATAAAATACAGTCAAACTTCCATAACTCGAAGTCCAATTTTAAAAAGAAAAGGTTCGATTTAAGGAGACTTCGAGTTAGATAATTTTTTTTGTTTCTTTTTATTTTTGAAAGAAACTAGAATCACATTTTAAGATATTTGTTTATTTGAAATCAATTAGAGCACAGAAGTTATAGTGCAGTGAAACATTCAGAAATTAGGGTTTAGGATTGTAATTTTTTTTTTTATTATTTTCAGTAAAAAAAGATTCCAATTTATTCTAAACCTTATAGTGATCATCAGTTAGAGTATCATTCGTTTGTAAATAAAAATTCAGAATTTTAAATGTCTTTTACTTCATTTTTGGAGGGCTTTGAACAATTTTATCCACCGAACCCTCATCATTACTTTCCGTTTCGCTTAGAATCGGATCCACTAATTCAGAGCTATAATGATCAATAATAGCGTCATCTGTAGGAAAGCTTGATGTATAAATTTCATTTCAAGCTCAATATAATCGTTAAGAGTACCATTGAAAATTATTATATTTACGTTAAACCACGCTGCCAGCAATTGGCAAAAATGTACTTCCCCTAACACCAATTATGAATTCATACTTAAAACTAAAATTCGACTTATAGAATGCACTTTCCCAGATTCTTATTGACATGTGACAATATTTTTATTCGAGTTATAGAAGTTCGAGTTATGGAAGAAGAATTGTATGTAATTTGCTCTCTAAAACCCTGTTGCAGTCTTTTTAGTTCGAGTTATAGAAAATTCGACTGTAGAAGTTCGAATTAAAGATTTTTGACTGTATTACTCACGTCTTCAAAGTGAGAAGACGAAAGTCGTTTAAATTACTAAATGGATTTTTATAATTATTTCGAGATTATGTTTTTAATATTTTAAATTTAATTTTATGAAAATAAATGATAAAAGTCAATTGGAAAAATAAATTAATCGGAGATCGTAAATCAACGTTCAATGGCCTGGCCCAACTTCTTCATTACTGAAGCCGCCATGAATGCCACTAAACTTTTGAAAATTATTAATTGTTTTAATTAATAAAAATAAATTAATATTTATTAAATAAATAAATATTTAAAAATTAATTTTTTTACGAATCAATGATAGGAAATAAAATATATTATATAAAATATTTTTGGTGCAATTTACACAACACACTTTTTCCATGTTATCTCATTTTAAATCTGCGCATTGCAATTATCCAACAAAAACAAAAAATCGTTAAATTTAATTTTTTCAAAGTCACGTCACGTCACGTCACGTAATTGGGGAAAATTATTATATACAAATTTGGATGACACACGTACCTGCACCACGAATTTATATGGAAACTTTCCGCGCGCCTTCCACTTCTCTATTGGATTCATGAAATAGAATTGCAGCTTGCGTCGCATACGTTCTTCGTTGTAGACGGACATTGGAGTGACGCCTTCGACACATGTCGATGATGCGGGCATCTCTACGAATTCACTGGTGTCTCCGGAATTGGTTATATTCGTGTTATGTGGTGATACCATGATTCCTGCATTGCCACTGCCACTGCCACTGCCAATCGAAGCAGTTGTTGGCGTTTGCGAGGCAAATGCAGTTGCTGATGACCTTGGCTGCGCAGCGCCCGCCGTCGCACTTCTACTGTTCACGTATTCCTCGTCACTTTCGCAGCGCGAATTTTCGCCACTGCTGGCACTTTGTCGTTCTACGTCATTTTGAGTTGCACGGCTTTTTGAGTTGATACGTGCCCGATTCACTACTCCGCTGCCGTGATTTTTCATTTCAATTAACTCCAGCAAGTGGTTACTGCTTGGTGAAAATTTTCTTTTGCGCTGCTATAGGCAAAAGAAAATTTCATCTAATTAGACAAATTCACAAAATTTATTAAATTTTATTTTTCGTTACCGTTCGGACTTCCGATTTTGTTAAATTTCGTTTCTGTACTGAAAAATTTTAACAATTTTCGTGTATTATTTACTTTTTTTTTAATTATCTTCTTGATAATCGACTGATTTCCTTTGTTGTTTGTGTATGACGAGCGAATATCAATGTTATTGAGAATAGTGGAACGCATTGGAAATGAAATAACTTGGAAACAGCTGTTCAAGTGTAGGGTGTTTCATTTAAATGCAAAATTAAAAAATTAAAAATAATGAACATGTATGATTGGCGAATCCGCCACACAAGCTCTAGCGCCATCTCGTATGCAGAATAATTTCATTTTGTACAACAACCAACTTAAGCGTAAAAGAAGAAGAAGAATAGTAACGTTGTTTTGAAAAACAACAAGGCACAAAGTGCGTAAATGAGATGCAATTAATAATAACAATACAAAAATTGTGATATCTTAATTCTTTTATAATAAAAATATTGTGTGACAAAACAGCCACATATACATTTAATATAAATACTAATATATTACGAATTAGTTAATATCTAATTTTAATCTAATTATGTCTTTAATAAAGGCATATAATAAAACTAAATAAACGCTCTTTATATATATATGTATATTTTATATAGGCAAAACAATCATAAAGAACGAATAACAAACAACTGATTTGTTTTTAAATAAGTTCTCAAGTACGTACGTTAAGTATATTTAAATCGAACGAGAAAAAACGATATTTGATGCAATATACCTCTTTATATTGTATTGAATTTGTTAAGAAATGTCAAGCAAAATTTTTACTTGATACGATTTCAACACTTCTGAGCTTCCAGTAATATTATTTGGCCGTGGATCGGTTTTATTGTGGCAGCAAAAAATGTTGAAAAACTATACTTTTGACAAAACAGTAACATAGTTTGATTGTTTAAACTTTTCAAATGTTTTTTATATTTGATGTCTTTATTATTTTTGGCATCTCACAAAAATCTTTATAAAAACTCATTAATAAAGAAGTTTTTCGAACAGTAGTAAACTACAACAACAAAAATTCATTTTATATTATTTTAATTAATTGAATTTTTAGCTAACCATACAGCTGTTTCGAGTATTGCCAAATGCTCAACATCAATGGTCTTGAAAATAGTTCTAAATAGTATTCGTGAATAATTTTTTGAGACTGCAAGTACTACGAAAACTCGTGTCCTGCCAAATTTAAAGCTCAGAGTCAGCGCATCTTAACCAACTGATCAGAAGCCGTACTTGAATTTTATGATCGCATATTTTTCAGGAGTTTTGTTACTTTGCTGTGAAAGTTTTATTAACAAATTTAATTGCTGTGTTTATATTAAAATGAAATCATAAACCAGCTGTAGAATAATTATAAATTAATCAAATTTTTTTTTTAATTGTTAATGAAAACGTCTCAATAGCTTAGATGCTAATGATAGAATTGAGTGCAGACGAAACGTCGACTCAATGGATCTTGAAGAGGAGAAACTCCAATTCAAGTGCGCGAACTTTGGATTGATTCCTTACAATTAAACAAGCAGTTTGCTAGTTAGAAACCTTTATTGTAATGAAAAATGTATCTGCAATTTACCTCTTAAATATAAGTGATAAATTGCCGATACGCATATTAACAATAATGCAAAATTAATAATTAAAATAAATTAATTATAAATTGCAAATAATACAATTTAAATAAAATGCAAAATCAATACAATTGAAATAAAATGCAAAATCAATAAAAATTAATTAAATTATTTTTTAAATAAAAATATGAAATGTTCTAAAACAACGTGGAGTGCATTTGCTGACTTCGCAAAATGCAGTTCCAAGCAAATTGCTTTGCACTGCATTGTTACGAAAGAAGAAGTCAACGAACCGGTCAGCCTTGGCATTGGTTTCGGTTAGGAAATAAATGCAAGTCTATCATATAGTTCGTTGACTTGTCAACATACTGCCCCCGTTGAATTAGAAGAATTCAAGACATATATAACAATAATAATCATAATAAAAATAATATTATTCTTCAATGTTGATTGTGAAATTCTGAGGGCTTCTTGGTGCCGGAGAGGGATGTTGAGATTTACATCGTCTGTAGCGGCATCCTACTACAACTAGAATGAAGATTATTAGTATGCCGAGAGTTATGTAACTGGTCACGTAATGGTGAATATTATGTTTGTTGAAGCTCGTCGGTGCCTCTGATGCCAAAGCTTCACGTAGGTGTTTTATTTCATCTAGGCTTACGGTGTATTCGGCTGGATTATATGAAATTTTTGGCAGTTTGTGTGTTGAATTAGGTAATGGTTCTGAGTTGAAACGAGCGTATGATTGTCGCATGTTGCTTTTGTATACATGATGTCCGCGTATCAAGAATTGCTCGTGTTTCAGTATACAGTTATCTTGAACCTCGAATCGGCCAGCTAAATCCAGAGTGAAGTGCTGTATTGTGTTGTTGCATACGAGGTTGACAGGTGAAGGAGTGCTCATGCCGTAAATCCATTGATTAGAATTGTGTAGCTGGAACCAAGTGGTATTTTGATCGAGTCGTTGAAGTTGACAGCTGGTTGCGTCTTTATTGTGAAACAAGTCCATTTCACATTTTCCTATTTCGGCGTTTGCTCGATAAATTGGGTGTTGTTGATAGCATAGATAGATGTTGTTGCTGACCTCATGACAACCGACCAACTCCTTATTCATAGGATACAGTTGTTCCTTATGCAAATTTATTCCGATAAATCTTGTTAAAGGTTTAATGATGACAAGTGACCCATTTATTGCAGCTGGAATTGGTGTTAATTGGAACAATTCAAATGTTTCAGAATCTACTAATGGCAGTAGTAGCGAAAATACAACCTGTGTATCCGTTTTAAATAGCTTGAGTTCAATGAGTCGAAAATACTCCAAGATGCTGTCATCTTCTATTGGAAGTTGTAGATTTTGCGATAAGTGTGTCCGAATGTTTTGCAGTTCCTTTCGAAACTGATCAGTGGATATGAGTAGAGGATTAATCTTGCCATGATGACCATCGGTGATAGCGTCTATTAAGGCCTGTTGTTGCATTTGGAAGTTGTGAGTTAACGTTAGTACTTGCAACGCCAATGAAGTAAATGTATAATATAATGCACTTTTGTCGAGTGCATTACTGACATTATTGATAGTTGACATTATCAACTTTATTTGTGCATCTAAGTCAGTGAATTTCCGTTTTGAGGCGTCTTGAGTTTGTTTCAAGATGTTTAGTGTTGCGTCCAAAATTGATGTGTGGTTTTTAAGTAATTTGTTAAGGTATTCTTCGTTGTCGTAGATTTGGCTCAAATGGTGTTTCATCTCTGTTTCATAATTTGAGTCTAATACGCCAAACAAGGAATTAGCTACATTTCCAATAATATTTATTGCTCCCCGTTTCGATCTTGCAATAGGGGATTTGAGTAGGGCATTTTCCATTTCAATGTCGCTGTGCCAGTGGTCATAAAAGGTTACGAGCCTGTCGCATGCAAATTGGCCACCGCTTTGATGACAAATGTTATCAAGGGCTGCTGTAGTCGATCTAATCGAATCCCAGGCAATCCAAAAAGATGATAAATTGTAGTATACTACAATGTTCCACTGACTTGATATGATTTTGGTAGCTCCGATGTTTTCGAAATAGAGTCCAGGTCTGGTAAATTGCTCGACGATTGGGCTGCATTGGGATGTAGTCACAAAACAGGCCATTAAAGTTGTTAGCAGAACGTTTCCTATGCTGAGTCGTCGCCGCTTTTTTGGGGTACTATCTTGAACAGTTGGCGTAGGGGCCTCCGTTATTGTTTCATTTATGCATATTGGTTTTTCGGATGTGTTTTGCTCGATTGGTTCGCTTGTATCGATCGGCAGTAGTGCTAGTCGATGAATTGCTCGTTTTATTATACCATTTTTGGTACGCACATTAGCTACACGAATTTTTCCATCTGGGCCTATGAAGGTTTCTACTATTCTCCCCAACGGCCACTGAAGTGACGGTGTATTATCTTCATGAATTAGAACCATTTGGCCCACTTTGACATTGTCTTGGACCTTTTGCCACTTTGATCGGTGCTGTAAATCACTTAAGTACTCTGACCGCCATCTATGCCAGAAGTCGTCTTTAATACTGATAATGCGCTCATATCTTTTTTTTAAATTTAAATGTAGAGGCTTCGCGTCAACATGAATTGTTGCAGTGAGGGGATCACCGATTAAGATATGTCCAGCAGTTATGGCGGTTAGGTCGTTAGCATCTGATGACGTCGGAGTTAGTGGTCTCGAATTCAAAATCGCTTCGATTTCTATTATGAGTGTTTCTAACTCCTCGTATGTAAGACTGACGTTCGATGCACTTCGTTTAAATAGATTTTTTGCTGACTTGACGGCAGCTTCCCACAATCCACCGAAGTGTGGGGCTCGTGGTGGGATGAACTTAAAATCGATATTGTACGAACAGCAAACACCCTGTATTTTTTCTTGGCTTCTTTCATCGAACACAGCATTTTTTAGTTCAGCAAGTTCCTTATTGGCTCCAACGAAATTAGTGGCATTGTCACAGTATATTTTCCGGCACATCCCTCTTCTTCCTATGAAACGTTTTAATGCCATGATGAATGAGTCAGTTGTAAGATCTGTGACTACCTCCATATGTATGGCCTTTGTTGCAAAGCAACAAAATACGGCCACGTAGCTTTTTGTTGGACGTTTTCCCCTGATACGATAATGAGTCCATATTGGACCCCAAAAGTCAGCTCCTGAGTTTACAAATGCTCGTGCTGGTTCAACGCGATCAGTTGGCAAATTTCCCATGATTTGATTTAGTAGTGTCGGTTTCGCCTTGGTGCAGATAACGCATTTGTGAATAATAGTTCTTGCTGTCATCTTTCCTTTGAGTGGCCAGTATTGCTGTCGCATGATTGCCATTAATCCTTGTGGTCCAATATGTTTGTTGCGGACATGAGTCTCTTGTATTAACAGCCTTGTTAATGGGCAATCTGGTAGCAAGACTGGGTGCTTCGCCTCAAATGAAAGTGAGGAAGATTGAAGCCGCCCGCCAACTCTTAGAAGACCTTGTTGATCAATGAATGGAGACAAAGCCTTAATTGTACTAGTTTTGCTGACTTCT